AGAAGAATCCAAGGTTGACGGTTATAAATTATAAAATTAAAGAGATTGACATTCACCGTGGGGAACCCTCGCATCCGTGATATCGGTTTCGATCGGAAAACCTGTATACATAATAAGTGAAACCAGGTTAGATATTTCGTTACGTTTCAATAACGTAACAATGAGCGAGACCGGCGGGTTAGTCTGTTTTTGCTATTGTATAGCAACCAATATTGCCAACTTTTTATCGCACATACAGACATAGTTGAGGTAGATAGGAGTCCCGGGGGCGGGGAATTGTCTCCTTTTTCGTGCCTGGGGACGAGGAATAGGACGCAGAATAAAAAAAAAAAGCCAAATCCCCGCGGATATGCCCGGGGGGGGGGATGGTAACATATGGAATTGAACCAGGCAGAACCTTCAAGTAAAAACAAGTAAATGTGAAACCTTGCTCCGTTCATTGTAAACTAAGGTCTTCCGCTGGATTTCGACCGTGTTTCATTTGTTAAAAGTGGGAGGGAAAGGCAAAGCGTCGACGTAAGAACGGGCGACCCCTCCCTCTTTCCGTTTTCACCTACAACGCAGGCTGGTCTCATGGTGGCCATTTTGAATTTTAAATACGCAGTTTGAAACCGAGAATTTTGTGGAGTCTGGGGACGGCTGGGAAAATCCAATCGCTCACCACACAGCTTGGTATTAAAATTCGCTGTGGCTACATAAATGACCAACAGCCGGTCAAGGTTTTCAAATAAAGATTTCAAATTTAAAGGTCAAGATGATATGTGGTTAGAGAAAGAGTGTTACCCTGAGAATGAGGTAGACTGGGGAGCAATGGCAAAAGGGGTTTGAAAGGCTTGTGTGTATACTGAAAAAATACAAGTTACTTGTTGGATATTTCACATGTGGTATACCACATGAAAGTATTGAATGACTTATAAAGGGAAGCAAACCGCCAGAAAGTAAGTGACAGACCATTAGAAAAGTGATATGGGAGGGGGGGGGGGGGGTTGGGGAAAAAACAAAAAACAAAAAAACCATGCAAGGGAAGGTGACTGAAAAACAAATCATGCAAAGAAGAAGTGAAGATAAGAAAAAAAAAACCCTGCAGAGTAAATTGCACTGTTGGGCTTACAAACTGTATTTGCCTGAACGGCAACGCGGCA